AGAGATGCCCAAGACCTACCACCAGAAGGCATAGTACAAAGAAAAGATTAAGTCCTGAAGGTATTAGGTAACTGTAAAGACCCTCAAGAAACAAGTCAGCAGAACCCCAAGGGAAGTTTTTTTGTTTTTTGTTTTTTGCTGGTTCCCAGACAAGAATTTATGCCTTTGCGAAAAGAGCTGGAAGAAATCTACATGCTTTAAATTAAATAAAAATACAACACAACAACAACAACAACAATAATAATCTTGGCAACACTTCTTCTCTGAGGAAGAGATATCGCAGGCTATCAGCTGAAACAAAGGCTTGGGATAACAAAGACTACTGTTGAGAAGCATACAGCAGAGCAGTGTCCAGTGGAGATTATAACAACCTGCAGAGTTCATATTTTTAGTCAAGCAATGTAACAGTCTAGTGGAGACTATTTAACCAGTGGTAAACAGTTGTTAAAGGAGCAGTACAAGAACATCACAAGAAGCAATGAGTAGCTCTTCAATGGAAGTGATTTCTCCTTCCATGCCTATGCTTTCAGCATACACACACACACACACACACACACACAAACACACACACACATACACACACACGTATATATGTGTATATATATGTGTATATATATACGTGTGTGTATATACATAAATAAATTCCTTTTGTGCCTTGACTTGGCTTCACATGTGTTTTCTATGCATGTACCCTTTCATGTCTGTGTTTTTATTCAAGAACATAGCCTGATTTGTGCCTCTCTATGTATGTACCCTAGATATGCCACTGATGCTGAATTTGTTGAAGAATATACACCAGATTTAATAGGGCAATGTTTAATTGCTACTCTCTTAGTGTAACATTTAAGTAAACAAATTTGCTTTTATTCAAGTATGTCATTTAGTTGACTATTGAAAGTATGCAAATTGATATAGACTTTTGAGTTATGGTTCTATATGCTAAGGAACCATAGAATATCATAAACTTGGAGATAGCTATTCCCTGGAGCGTCCTCTCTATAAGTTGGGGATGAATCCTTATACGTGCTATGTAGCTTAAAGACCTGCTCTACTATTAAACAATTTCATATTCACAATAAAAATACATTCTCTTATATTTTTGTCATGGTATTATCTTTGAATAATACATTTGTTAATATTTGTTTTAGAAATCATGCTATAAGTTCATTGAAAAAGTCATGTTAATAATAACACTTACAATAAGAGGAGAGAAATTGACTTTAAAGTTTATTTTAAAGTCCCAGAAATTAATTCTAAGAATAAACCAGTGTACTTCTTTTGCCAAAATTAAGCTGTGAAAGTAACTCTACTTTTCCCCTAGATGTACTCATACTAAAAGTAGGTTTTTAAATTTTGGTTTTGAAAGCAAAAGTTCAATATCTATACAAAACTAAAATAATAGGATCCTGTGTTGCATGGAAAATACATTATTTGTGATGGGAGCCCTGGAGACTCAGCCTTGTCACTAGATCATCAATATAGAGCTAGGAAAGACCTTAGTAGTCATTAAGTCTAAATGTCTCATATGATAAGTGAAGAAATTGAGGTCTAGGGACTTACTCGCATCCCACCAGTCAGAGGTGGGATTTAAATCCAGTCTTCTGAATGGAACTAGAGTTTTCTTCATATTACTATGCTGGTTAGAGAGGATAATAAAAGGATATTTCATAGATTGGGCTCTGATTGAATATTAACTTTATATATTATATATATATATATATATATATGACACATTATGTTATACAAATGTATATATGGTATCATCTTGCATAAATGTTTCTATATATATATACACACACATTAACTTTATGTAACTACGTATGCATGTACATATATATATATATACATATTCAATTTATTTAATTATGTGACTTAGGCCTATCACATTCGTGATATAAAGTTCTCTTTTAATTCAACTTGTGAACAAATCTTGAAATTAGCTCCTCAGAATTGTTTGCATTAGAAGTGGAAAGATATTTTCACAGCACAAGTTATGTGATGATCTCAAATACATTTTATATGAAGAATAAATAAAACTAAGAGCTGGTTTTATGGGGTGGGGAGGACCTACAACATGGATAAACCACTGGTTAATTCATTTAAAAAAAAAAAAGAAAACCATCAAAAAGGAAAACAGTGAATTCACTACCAATGAAGAGGAAATTAAAGCAGTAATTAGGAGTTATTTTTTTTCAATTGCATGTTAATAAATCTGATAATCTAAGTGAAATGGATAAATGTTTACAAAAATATTAATTGCCCAGATTAACAGAAGAGAAAATAGAATACTTAAATAATCTAAACTTAGAAAAAGAAATTGAAGGGCAGCTAGGTGGCACAGCAGATAGAGCACTGGCCCTGGATTCAGGAGGACCTGAGTTCAAATCTGGCCTCAGACACATAATACTTACTAGCTGTGTGACCCTGGGCAAGTCACTTAACCCCACTGCCTAGCCAAAAAAAAGAAAAAGAAATTGAGCAAGCCATCAATGAACTGTCTAAAAATAATTCCCATGACCAGATGAATTCACAAGTAAATTTTGCCAAACATTTAAAGAATAATTAATTGCAACACTATATAAACCATTTGGGGAAAATAGGCTAAGGAGAAGATTCCTTCTTATCCTTATCCTCCAGATTCCTTTTGTGGCCCAAACATGATGCTGATACATAAACCAGGAGTTGCCAAAACAGAGAAAGAAAATTATAGACCAATTTCCCTGAGTAATATTGCTGTAAAAATAAATAAAATACTAGCAAAGAGATTGCATAATTGATCCTGTCAATAAAAAACCAACAGAAATCATATGATTACCCCAATAGATGCAGAAAAAGCTTTTGATAAAACATAGCATCCATTCCTATTAAAAACACTACAGAACAAAGAATGGTACTTTAAAATGGTAAGTAGTATCTATCTAAAACCACCAGCAAGCTTTATCTGTATTGTGAATCACCTAGAAGTATTCCCAATAAGATCAGGAGTGAAGCAAGGATATCCATTATCACCACTTTTAGTCAATACCGTATCAGAAATGTTAGCTATAACAATGAGAAGAAAAAGAAATTGAAGAAATTAGAATAGACAATGAAAAAACAAAACTATCACTCTTTGCAGATGACATGATGGTATACTTAAAGAATCCTAGAGAATCAACTAAAAAACTACTTGAAACACCTGTCAACTTTGGCAAAGTTGTAGGATATAAAATATACCCACAGAAATCATCAGTACTTCTACATATTACCCACAAAGCCCAGCAATATCACTATTAGGTTTGTATCTGAAAGAGATTAAAGAAAAAAAGAAAAGGACCTACATGTATAAAAATATTTATAGCAATTTGTGTGTGTGTGTGTGTGTGTGTGTGTGTGTGTGTGTGTGGTGGCAAAGAAGTGGAAATCAAGGGAATGCTCATCAACTGAGGAATTGTTGAACAAGTTGTGGATTATTATTGTGATCAAGTAGTATTGTGTTATAAGAAATGACAAGGAGAGGGTTCAGAGAAACATGGCAAGTCCTGTAGGAACTGATGCAAAGTGAAGTGAGAAGAACTAGGAGATCAGTGTGCATGGTATCAGCAATGTTATAATAATGATCAACTGAAAAACCTGGCCACTCTCATCAATACAATGACCCAAAACAACTGTAAAAAACTTGTGATAAAAAAATACTATCCACCTCTGCAGAGAGTACTGATGAACTCTGAATGCAAACTGAAGTATAATTTTCTTTATTTTCTTTTTTTTGAAATATGGTAATATGGCAATGTTTTTCATGATTTCATTTGTATAATTGATATCCTATTGCTTGCCTTCTCTGTAGATTTTGGAAATGGAAGAGGGGAAAGGAATTTAAAATTCAAATTAAAAAAAAAGAATGTTAAAAATAATTCGCAAGAAAAATAATAGCAAGATTTCAAACTTTGATAAAATAAATAAATACATTGATTAAAGACTTTAAAAAAGCAGTGTTATGGGCACTAGATGTGCCAATTCCTATTAACTATGTAACACAGGGCAAAAGATTTGCTCCTAGTTTTCTCTTGTGAAAGTTGAGAGCAGGAACTATTTCATTTTTTCTTAGTGATATATTTTTCACAGTGCCTGGCATACGTCACTTACTTTATTGTTGTTGATAATTGAATTTAATTGAAGAAACTGTACTATGGATTTTTTTTTAGGACAGCTCTAATAGTAAGTACAATATTAGCATTTAGAAATCAGACTAACTGTGAATACTTTGAAGATTTTTGGCAAGAAAATAATCATATAGGTGTGAACAGATCACATTTTGTACCTATTGGCATATTCTTCCAAGCTCAATTGCACCATTCTAAATCCTTGGAATCAGAGATCTCTACACACCTTGCTAACTAACATTTTACAACTCATAACATTTCTTAAAAGGAAATGCAGAGAGGATTCTTAGGTGATGAAATTTGGCATTGTCATACTGTATACTATAAACACACCCCAAAAAAAAATTAATTTTGAAAACCCAGCTATTTGTAGCTCTGATATATTGCATTGTGAATCAGTTTATTTCAGCTATATCCTGTAATCACAAGCTAGAGGAACATTGCCATAAAAGTGTGGTGAGTCAATTATGTGTAGAATTTTATCATGTGATTTTTAATTTCCTAATAACTTTAGATTACTTTAAATTTTCATAGGAACCTTGACTTTGGTTGTTAGTTTATAACTTGATCAATTGTCAATAATACAAGCAGCTGCTTGGATTTAGTGGAAGACCCCAGAGATTTGTGAGAATACTCGAAGGGCTACGAAATCAAAGGGTTTGCTCCCCTCCTGCTCAATAGTTAACTTCACTTTATAAATCTTTAAGGTACAAAATATGATTTAAAATAGAATTTATAAGCTTCTTTCATAACAAAGCTGGTTAACTATAGCATCAAAAAGATTTGAAATATTTAACTGGGCTAGGAAATCCTATTGATGTAAGAGACAGTGGTAAGTAGAGATTGGAAGAATCTGACCTTTGTTCTTGTGATTTGTGTTTGATTGCTTAGAAGTCTTGAAGGGAGTGTTTCTACCTTTGTAAAGAGAAAAATGTCAAATTAATTCTTACCTCTATGAAAATGATAGATTTTTTTGTCTTAAATCCATTGAAGTAGAAAATTACCATGAGGTTATAAAAAGAAATGAAAAACCCATTGTGAACTAAAATGAAAAAAAGGAATTAATTGGTGCACTTTCAGTTGCTTCTGTGAAAGACAATGAATTGTAAATAATTAATACCCAGAAAAACTAAACAGCAAAGGTTAAAAGTGCTTATTTTATTAGAAGCAATTCTTCCAATTACCTTACATGGGGCAATGTAGCTTTCTATCATTTATATAACTCCAGATATAAAGTATTCTTTTTCTGTTCTTTTTCTTGTAAAGTGCTTGCAATTTCTTAAATCAATCTTTTTTTTTTAAGAATACTTCCAAATTTCATGAAAGATCAATAAATAGGGCTGCTACCATTCTAGAGAATGAGTGTTCCTTGATTGGTCATGCTCATTGCTATGCTAGGTTTTCAGATGTGAGGGAAAAAATTAACTACAACAAAATGATTTTTTCCTTTAGTTTCCTTCTTTTACTGCATAACAAAATGACTGAAATGCTTGAATCAGTGAATAAAGCTCCCAATCATTTTCCAAAGATCTTATCACAAGCTCATTGATTCTGAGCATAATACTGATTCTGGTTCCTAGCTTCTTAAATTTAGGCAAACCAAAAAATCTCCGCCTCCTTCCTACCTCTACACCGTTGTCCACATATACACATCTCAGTTTCGTGGTATATAAGCTATTTAATACTGACTAGATAATGACACTCAATCTTTTTTTTTCAATAACTGGCAGGGAAAACAAAAAAGGGGGTGGGCAGCTAAAAGAATCAGAAACTAAAAAATATTATTGTAATTCCTATATCAGAGGCCCTCTCCAAGCATCACAAGCCTCATCAAGATTCATTAGCCTTTCACTTCTCTGGCTTGTTGATCTCACATAGAAGCTAAGAATGTAAAAATGTTTAACTTTTTTGTGACACATTCCATATTTTTACTGCAGGCATTACAATCAAAAAAGAGAGTAGAAGGCACAAGTTCCCCTTATAAACTCTAAAACATAAAATATGGAAAATACAATAGTACTATTAGCAAAGTAGTGAATACAACTATAGTCCATGTAAGCTCTGATGTTCTTTATGCCCATCTCCACTCTTAGACAAGTTTAAGGTCCCAGAATAAAGCAATTTCTCTCTCTTGGGATTGAGATATTCTTGAGAAATTGGGAATAATTTCCTAAAGCCATTGGCTTAACTTTTCAGTCTTCAGCCTCTCCTCAAGATCATCAGTTGCATATCATTTTAGTCAGGTACCCTTAAGAAACTTTTAGAAAAGGGTATTTATGCTAGTAAAAACAGTTGAGAAAACTCACTGCTCTATACTCCTGAAATCTATGACATGTTCTCTCACAAGTCAATACAGAAGGAAAAGTGAGTTCAGGTGTGGAGTAGACATGTTCCAAAGATGTAACTTATAGTTCCTGGTGGCTAGAATTATTCTTCCATTTGTGGGATGCTCAAGGAATTCCTCTTAAGCATGGTGCCTAGAGTACATAATTTGTTTGCTAACAGCCAGATGGAGACATGAATCAATGACCAATCTGTTCTTGGCTCCTAAAGAAAACACTGACTTTAACTTATTCAGGGATGCCACTCAAGTACTTATGGGAAGACAAGAAGTACAACATCCTTTGGAAACCTCCAAAACTTGAAAAGTTCTCTGGGCAAAGGGGGAAGAGAATACCTAGTAAAGGGGAAAAAATGAAACTTCTCCTCTTTCCTCAGGGAATTCCTTCACAGGTTTTTTGTTGAATGCAACACTCATTCCCAAACTCCTTCTCTACTTGCTCAATAATTTATAGAAGACCAGTAGAGTAGTCCATGTTTCTTCATACTATTTAAATCCTTCTTGTACAAGATTATTCTAGTTCCAAGTATTTTTTTTACACTTACTTTAAAACCTGTGATTGAATGACTGAAACTAAACTCTATAACTAAGATTGAGCATCAAATTACTTAAAATTGGGTGAGGTGATCTGATAGATTTATCTAATTCACCCCAACTTTACACATTAAAGATGCACAGAGGTGAGAGATCACAGTTATTCATCATCTCACCAGAGAAACGTAGTATATCTCTTACAATCTCATACAGATTGACTACTAAGTATGTATAAAGGTCAAGTTGATTCTCAATTCCCTCTCTCTGACTCCTATAGCTCACTTCAGTTCCCAGACATTGAAGGCCATTGTTTGCAACTTGGATTCTCTCTTCTGCTCAGCTCTGCTTTTCTAAGCCATCCATCTAGCACTATTTTCACCCAAAATTCTACCTCTCTAGGTCAGCTAATGACATCCTCAAATCATTCATTTGGAAATTAGGCTGAAAGACTTGGCTTAAAAAATCTGAATGAAAGAAATTTTTTGAATGTTTGTATTCCTCCTTTCACTTTGAAGTGAGATCATTTTCATGAAAATCTTAAAGATACTCAAAAAACAAAACAAACAAAAAACAAAAAACAACCTTTGAGGATCTCTCTACTCAAAACTACACCTCGGAAAAAAACAGAATGCCTTCCTTCTTTTGATATTTTCTCTTTCACCCCAGGGCCAAAAGCACCTCAATTGCAAACAAAGTGTCTCTTCTTGTGAGATAAATGGGTATCAATCACATCTCTTTTTATATTTAGAAAAAATATTGAAAAGCATAAATGTCCATATCCCCACAACCTCATATTTACAGGGGGGTAAGAAAGCACATCTATTTCCGAGAATCCATAGAATTCTTTGGAAAGTAGAAGAATAGCTTACATTTGTATAGAGTTTCATGAACATGAAATTTAATTTCACATTTAATTCTCACAAAGCCTGAGGATTATCTATGCTTGGAGCTTTTAGTTTGTTCTGGCCTCTCCCATCATATCCTGGGAGATGTTAGGATTTTTAAGTATTTCTCCTGAAAGAGAAGCCTATTGTTCTTTTCAGTCACCTCTTTCAATTTACGATTATGAAACTCTCAGTATTTCAATTAATAAAGGCATAAATGGCATCCTTATGAAATTCACAGATCACAAAAAAGCTGGGAGAATAGTGGCATACTAGATTATAGAGTCAAGATAGGAAATCTATCTTGCCAGGCACTGAGTATTGAGTTAAATCCAACATGAAATTCAAGAGCAGTTCTGTTCAAAAGGTCAACTTCATAAGACAAGATGGGGGAACCACTGTTAGACAGAAGTAAGTAAAAGATCTGGGAATTTTCTTACCCCTCAATGTTGTTATGAGTGAGCGGCATAAAGTAGCAGATGAAAAAGGTAATGAGTGAGCGAATGAATGATTAAATGAATGAATGAATGAATGAATGATAAAGTTTTTCAAGTGCTATATATCAAGCATCATGCTATATATGGGGGATGCAATACAAACAAACAAGGCACCCCCGGCCCTCAAAGAGTTAGAGTTCTTTAAAATTTCATAAAAAGAGAAAACATGTAAGTTGGAACTGGGAAAGGGGACAGACACATGCAGCAGCATGGTTTGGAAGTGTCCAGAAAGTGATACGGAAGCCTGATTCTATTAATAATATAATGAAAACTGACCTATGAGAGAACAGGAGCCCAGGAACAAGTCAAGATGGTTTTAGTGGGAGCAAGTTGAGGAATATGTCTGAAGGAAAGACAAAATGGTTTGGAAATAGTAAGCGATATTTGTTTGCATTGAGAGGCATAGCTTTGGAAAGGAGATGATAGTGCCACCATACTCTGCGGTGGTCAGGTATTTGGAGTATTGTGTTCAGTTCTGAGCATCACAGTTTAGTTTACATTGATAAATTGGAAACCATCCAAAGGAAAGCAACCAAGATGGTAAAGGGACCTAAGCTTATGTAATATTAGGTTTGATTAAAGGAATTAGGCTTGCTTAGGCTGCAAAAGAGATGACTCAGGTGAGAGACTGGGAAAGCATGACATATATATATATTCAGATATTCTAAGGGCTGTCATATGGAAGGAGAGGGTTAGACTTGTTTTTCTAGAACCAGTAGGGAAGAATCAGGAGTAATGGGTTTAAGTTACAAAGAAATAGGTTTAGGCCTATTTCTCAACAATTAAAGCTAACCATAGTTGGAATGGCCTGTTCTGGGAGGTAATGTGATTTCTCTCATTGAAGTTCTTCAGCAAAGACTTGAAGCCAGAAGTAGAGGAGAAATGGATAGTAGAGAGTAGAGAGGGAATAAAGGACTTAAGATAGAAGAAGGTGTAGACTAGCTGCAGTGGAGAGTGAGAATAACAGAATTCTCATGTAGTAGTGAGGATCCAGTTCAAGAACATAAGTTTTATAGTAGACCCACTGCTGTGGCTATGAGATTTTCTTCAACCATGTTAAGAGCATATGAGTAACAGCAAAGAAGGTAGATGGAAACAATGTAGAGTTGGGTTTTATCAAGGCATGAGCCTTAATAGGACAGAGAAGGGTTTCTAGGACAGTACATAACTGAACTATTCAAACATAGAATCAAGATTGGAGGGCAGGGGAGTAAAGTAAAGCCAGAGAAGTTGTGAGGACAGGAAATCACTCTGAGAATGAAAGTTAGACTTGAAAGTCATGAGGCCAAAATAGAGACATAGATTATGATTGACTGAGGCATTTTCAATAATGTTTGTAAAGAGCTCTGCAAACATTAAAGCACTATATAAATGCTATCTTTCTCTATAATAACAATAATTATTAGTAGTTATTAATTATTAGTTCCTTATCCAGTGTATATGTGCTGTGGGGAAGTGAGGGGTGGTAGAGAATAAGAGATGGAAAATGTATGAGAGAATAATAAGGGATAAGAGAAATGTGAGCATGAGAGAGAGCAAGGCTCGAGTCACAGAGTCTTTAGGAGAGTTTGCTCTTATTAAGCCATTTCAGTCATGGCCAACTCTTCATGACACCCATTTGGGGTTTTCTTGGCAAAGATAATAGAGTGGTTTCCCATTTC